ATTATCTACTTTTTATTGTTCTCCAATGCCTTCATACATATTTATATGCATAATTAATCTCACCAAGAGGACAGTGCAGTGCAAACTATTCAACCATTAATGAAAATTTCCACTGCACATTTAATTTCAATTATTATACTCTTAATTTATCATTAGATGCTTCACTTGTTAGTTTTTTTTTTCCCAAAAACCTGTTGGATATTTTTTGAAAACATCTGCTCCTCACTCATTTTTTATCCCACTCTTATTTTCAAGACACATCAGATGTATTCACTGTACATTCTGTACCTAGTTATTCCAATATGTGAGGTGTTTATGTGTCTCCTTCTGCTCTTTTTGTTTCTGAAAATTAATGCTCATGGTAGCTTTTTTCCTCCTTATACATTTATTTTATTATTTTAAAAATGTGAGCTCATGTTCCCTGGAACTTTATCTATAAGAGTTCTTTGTGACTGGAGTTAAAAGTATATTCTTCCAAAGAGAATATACATTGGTTCTTGGTACTTGGGCATGCCACCAACCTGGATCTATTTTCATTTAGATTCTTACTTGGATTTTTCCATCCTTGAAGACTGGACACCAATCTCTCCATTAAGACTAGCCTGTGGCCAAGAATTCTTAGACGAGACCCTTCCTGTGCCTCTACCAAGAGCCAATAATGAGAAAAGCATGTTTCCTTGAATGTACTCTGTCTTTGTAAATTTGATATTTGTTTCTTATTTTCTTTTTCTCTTAGAGTTTAATCTGTGCGATTCCTGGCTCTATACAATGTTCTCTGATTCAACTTTCCCACATTGCCCAGGTCCAAAGCTTAGTTTGCTGTTCCCAGAAGACACAGCTACTAAAATCAAACCTCTAGGCGACCTAGGGCTGCTGGGCACACAAGATGGCAGCTTCAGTGTTGGATCTTGACCACCCACTATTGCCAGCCCCAGAGGAACTCCCATGCTGTGCTGTGAACAATCATGCAGTTGGAACATTGCTTTCCATGTCTCACCTAGTATTTTCAGACATTTTGTAGAAAGAGGATTTCAGGATATCTAGATTAATATATAGCTAGAAATGGAAACATTCAACATTTGCTCTTTATTCTCTGCAGGCTTTAGTTCTTACTCTTTGTTTAGGTCATTGGCAAATGAATTAGCAGAATGGACACAATGGTGAACAGACTCATTATTATAAATACTGATTATGCTACCAACTTTTGTTGAAAAACAGCTCTGAGAAGGACAAGAGCCTTCATGCCCTGTGATGGTTTTACTTCTAGGATACTCCAAAGCTTTTCCTTAAAGAGCTGTAGGAGACACAACCAATGAAGGAATCACGAATAAGAATGATTGAAGCCTTGTGTTAGTATCTCACCAGCTCTCAAAGCTGTCTTTCATGGATAAAATAAAGCCTGACTAGATCAAAATATCTCTTGGAAGTCAGCCAAATATCACATGAAAGGGCTTCTCTTTTCCTCCTTTACCATGGGGAGAGATGGTGTCGCCATCACACATAACAAAGTTAATTCCTATGGATAAATTTCACAACTATAAGGTGTTGGTGATAAAGCTTGTCTCACAGATTGTTAACAGATTAATTGTCAAAGGTTAGCATAGTATCTTTACACATACAACTGCTCAGTAAATAATATTATTATTTCCTTATATAAAAGGTCTCGGGTGGGTAACTTTTGATATCTTTGTTAATATTCAGAGATGGTTTGAATGTCTTTCAGAGACTCTCAAGACCTAGAAAACTTTAGCCTTCGGTCCCCACCCTGTGGGGTTTCCTCCTTAGGTCCAAAGTGCCTTGGCTTCTCCTCAGTTACCACCA